GAAACCTTCAGTGACGGTTTTCTCCGTCCACTGCTCCCTCCCAGCACTTCCCCAAAGGTTGCAGCAGGACAGACGCCCCCCGCCTTGGCCATCCCATCTGCCCTGGACATGCAACGGCCTCCAGACCCACAGGGGAGGCCCGGGCCCGCGGAGTCCCATCCCACAGGGCTGGGGTCTGTGGAGGGGCCGAGGGCTGGGGGGGGCAGATGCGGTGGGGGCTGCTCTGTGTGAGGTGACACTGGACCCGCTGTGAGGACAGCCGGTGTGAGGGGCAGACAGGGCTGGCTGGAGGGTGGGCGTGAGAGCGCGAGAGGGACACCTTGGCACCCCTACACCCTCCCCAGGACACAAACCATGGTGATAGCCCAGCAAATGCTTTATTGCTACAGACAGCACTTCCCGCAGCCCCTGGCAGCAGCAGGGGAGGCTGCCTCCCCGTGTCCCGCACCAGATGGGTCCATCCAGACAAGGTTCTTGGTGCTGGGAGCCAGCCCCGGCACCAGTGTGTGGCGTGGAGAGAGCCGGACAGCTCAGCCTGCTCGGAGACCCCCACCCCAGATACTGCCCCGCTGCAGCTCTGCAAACGGCCGGGGGCGCTGCTGGCTCCCCAGCAAAGCAGGAGGGTGCTCAGCAAGCAGGAACAGGCAAAGGAGGAGCGGAGGGGCCCTGATGCCCACATCTCCGAGATGGCAGAGACACCTCTCTGTTGCCCTGCGTGCAGCCCGGTGACACCCCGCTCACCCCCCGGCAGGTACCACCCTGCTCGCGGCGCCGCGCTACTGCAGCTCCCTTAGGCCGGTGCTGCTGGGATGGGGGCTCGGTGGCACTGCCCCCCGTGCCCACACCCACCGCAGCCTGCTCAGAGGAGACGTCCCAGGAGCTGAGCGCCGGGAGAGCTGCTCCAGGCCACTGGCAGGGCGACGAAGCCCAGCTTGCCGTAGAAGCTCAGTTGCTGCCGGTCAGCGGCACTAACCTGGCAGAACACTCCCCGTGACCCTGGAAGGGATGCGAGGGGTCAGGCGCCCAGCATCGGGAACCCAGCACTGGGGCTGGGGGCCAGTGACTGGGGCCCCCTCCACGAGGGCCACAACCTCCCTCTGCCCGCTGGCACAGGGTCCACGTGTCCCCAGGGGCGGGGGGGGCGCGGTGGGTGCCTGGGAGCTGGGACCAGACTGTCCCAGAGGGGACGGGAGCCCCACGAGGGGTGAGGCCGCTCCCAGCTCTGGGGTGGGCAGGGGAGCCGTTGGGACAGGGGCTGTGCGGGATGGCGGGGCCTCAGGCCCTCCCAGCGCCAGGAGGCCGTGCTCACCGTTGGCCCTGAGCGCGCTCAGCAGGCAGATGGCCAGGCTGCGGCTGGCCCCCACATCCAACACACGGGGGGCTGTGCCCAGCTGCACCAGGGAGGGGAAGCGCCGCAGCACAGGCAGCGGCACTGCCGGCGGCTCTGCGTGGAAGAAGAGCAGAGCTTCCTCCAGGGCATCCTGCAGGAGACAAACACAAGTGAGGGAACCCCCTCCAGCCCCCCCATAGCTGCTCCCCTCTGCTCCAGGTGCCCCTCACCTGTCCCAGAGCTGGGGCACCCGCGCCCAGGTCTCGGGGGTACTTGTGCCGTACAGCCGGCAGCCAGCTGCTGTCTCGCTGCTGCAGGAAGCCCTCAGCGCAGAGTGCTCCAGCCGCGTAGCCGCATGGACCCTCCTCATCCTCCAGCACAAACGTGTACTCGGGGCTCAGGCTCAGGAAGCTGCCCAGCAGCCTGCCAGCCAGAGCAGGAGCGCCGCTGAGCCCAGCCTGCCCCCAGGAAAGCAGAGACCAGCCAGCCTCCTCCGCCCTGCCCTGACAGGACGGCACACCAGCGCCCACTGGACCATCCCTTGGAGACCCCCCCCAGCAGAAGCGCTCAGCCAAGGGGAGCCACGGCAGCCCCCCTGCAGCTGGGCTGGACAGTGGGTCCGTCCCCACAGCAGCTGCCATGACCCAGCTGGACATGAGCACAGGGACCTGTCGGGGTGCAGGCAGAGCTGGTCCCCACAGGGGTGCGAGGCAAGGCCACAGCCTCACGCCACGGCCCAGCACCACTCGGCACATGGCCAGGCTTGGCACAGCCTGGCAAGAGGGAGCCCAGAGGGACCACGACTCACCTGTCCCCGAGGAGATCAGGGTGGGCCGCGAGGATCTCTGCGACTTCGGGGTCACAGTCCAAACTCTCCCGGCACATTCGGTAAAGCTCTCCCTGGAAGACCCAGACCTACCTCAGCCCGGGCTCTGCCTGCCCTGCCCCACTGCTGCCCCTCGGCTGCCTGCTGCTCCCGCCACGGCCCCAGACAGAGCACCAGCAGCCGCCCCAGTGACCATGAGCGGGGCTGCGGCCCCCAGTGTGTCCTGGCCAGGGGCAGGGGTGAAGGGATGAAGCGCTTTGGCCATCCAAGGACGCTGGCGTCTGCCCCAAGTGATGCACTGTGCACCACCTTCTGCTGGCCTCTGAGGCTCGATACTACAGCACAACACTTCAACATGAGAAACTGCTGCTCCAGTCAGGCTCCAGTCAGGCATCCCAGAGCCACCGCTGCTGAAGAGACACGGCTCGCCCCAGGAGGGAGCATGCTCAGAGCGGCCACGAGACCAATACCGAAACTCAAGTCTCCACAGAGCATGTGCAAAGTGGGACATCTCAAAATCTTGGCCACATTGGAGCTTGCTGCCACTCCCAGAACCAGCACAACAAACATCCCAATCAACACAGTTGCTGCCCAGAGGAGAGGCTGCCCTGACGGCTGAACGACAAGGGTGACAGCGCCTGGGAGTGCCGTTCCCAGAATGGGCCGGAGCACTCAGCAGGAATTTTCTCTCCAAGTTTCACAGGACACAGACATTCAGCTTGTTAAAGTTTGGCCTGATCAGATGAAATCTGACAACAGGTAGTTGAAAAACAAGCTCTTGCAATGGGAATTGCTGGCAGCTGCAGTCTATTATAATCTGCTCTTGTGCTTCAACTCCTCCTCTGATTGTTGCAGGCACTGCAGCTGCACATCACCGGGGCTGTATTTAGCAGGGATGTGCAGCTGTGCCCATGATGGGTGGATCTGCAGCATTAGCATGTCCCTCAGGTAGGAGAGGCTGCACGGTGCTGGCTGCACTGTCTGGTATGTGGGAACTCAGGGCTCTGCTGGATTTGGCAGCAGTTTGTGTCCATCCACCTCCTAATTCTCCTTTTCCCCCCATCCCATTGAACCACTGGATGTCAGAGCAGGGGCTGACAGCAAGCAGCTCATAGCTGACAGGCTGCTTCCTCTCCAGCAGGGCATCACCCTGCAAACTGGGTGAGTGTTTGAAGAAGGGACTGACTGGGAGCTGAGTGGTGCCCAGAGCCGCAGATCTCCATCCAGACTTGTCCTGTCTGGATCTTTCCCAGCATCTCCTTATGGCCACTGCTGGAAGTCAGCACTGAGGGCGCTTTGGAGAGCGACCTGGCCGCCCTGAGCCCGTGCCAGTTTATCTGTGGCTATGCCCGCTGCTCGCTTCTGGGCCAGGCCTCCTGCTGCTGGCTGCCAGGAGCAGCTCTGCCTGGGCACTCCCCACTGGGAGGTGAGTGATGGTCCCTGCCAAGGCCGCTGGCCACCGTGCCTGCTCTCCAGCCTGAGGGGCTGACACGCTGCTGGGCACAGCCCCGGTGACCTGATCCGGCCTCCTCTGCATGGGGGCCAGACCGCAGTAGCCCCCTCCTACCTGCATCACCCTGCGCTGCCAGCTCAGTCTGGGGTCAGCAGCGGGCGAGCGCGTATGGCACCAGCACACGTACAGCACAGACTGTGCAAGGGCGAGCTCTGGCCCGAGCCGTGCAGGCCACCCTCGGGGCCAGGCCTCCCACCTTGTCCAGGGGCAGCAGCGGGCGCAGGAGGTACAGCTGGCTGGATGGGAAGAGTGGAGGCGGGTGGTAGAAGAGGTCACAGCTGTTCCCCACGGGCAGCAGCGCCTGGAACAGACACAGTCCATCAGGAAGACTGTCCCAGCTCCAAACCTCGTCCTGGAGGCAGCAGGAGGAGGGTCCCTCTAAGGCATCCAAAACCCCAGGAGCCACGGCCCAGGCGCAGAAGCCTGGGGCAGCTCAGCCTTCCCAAGCCTAAAGAAACCCAGTGGCAGGGCCAGGAGCTGCTGCTGGGATCCCAGTTTCCCGATGCTCCTTCGCCTCCACGGGCACAGGCAAGCTCTCACCTGCAGCTCTCCAAAGAGGCCCCCACGACGTGCCCAGGGCTCAGCATCCCCCCGCAGCGGGATCGGGGCAGCGATGCTCTGGCACCCTGGAGGCATCAGGAGACATACACAAGCAAGGTGAACAAAAACCTGGTGGGGCAGGGGGACATCAGCAACATCACACAGTGACATCGCAATCCACACTGGTGACAGAGAGCCCCGAGGATCTGCCCCAGCACGGGACCCTGCAGCTGCTCTCCCATGGAAGTGGTTCAAGGCACATGCCCCGTCTCACACTGAGCTTAGAGACCCTCCCAGGCTGCCATCAGTGACAGCTCTTGGTTTGTAAGAGGTCACAAGGGTCACAGAGCAACCAGGAACCCTGAACCAGAGGAACAAGGGCTTCCAAAGTGACGCACAGGCATTCAAAATCCAACCTCACCTCTGTCACCCGGGGCATAACAGCTCCCAAAGGCCCGTGGATCCCTTTTACCAGAAAGGCTAAGGGGTCCTTAGACTAAAAGGGCTGAGGAACCATGTCCTAGAAATGGGCATTCCTTCTGACTGAGAGATGAGGAAGAGCCGCTGCAGTGACTGCCCTGTCCCCAGCAGCAGTGCCCCATCCTACCTCGGCGTGTCAGGGTGCAGGGGGGTGCCGGCCTTCCCGTGACCCTTCCGGCTCCGCTCGGCTGGCTGAGTGCGGGGAAGGGCAGCCCAATGGCGAGTGCTAGCTGCGGGGCTGGAGGTGAGGGAGGGCGGCAGCCAGGGCCCCACCGCCCAGGCGGGGCAGCGCCAGTACTTACAGCCAAAGCAGCTTCTCCAGGTGCCCTTGGGGTCAGGGTCGCAGAGCAGATGGCCGTCTGCAGAGGAGGCGAGGTGGTGAGCACAAGACATGGGCCAGCGGCAGGGAAGGTGTCACGGGGAGGTGCACTTGACCCTGGGACCCCCTGCCAGAGGTCTGGGGTCCCTGACACCTTCACCTCTTAAGTGGGGGACACAGTGGGTCACCACAGAACAAGTTTCAGATGCCCTGGGTGTGCTGCAGTGCCCGGGGATCCAGCACTTCAACACGGCTGGATCTGGCCAGGGTGTGAGTATGCGCTACAGGGCCACAGGGGCTGGCTCGGGGCTGGCATCAGCCACGTACCCAGCCAGAGGACGAGGGCGCCAGCGGCCAGCAGCATGTTGCGGATGTCCCAGAGGTAGGGGTGGAGGTCGTAGAGCAACGCCCGCCCGGCGCTGCTGACAAAGCGGCTGTGCAGGCGGCACGTCTGAGCACAGAGCAGCTGGAAGGACCGGGCTCGGCCGCGCCACTGCGTGCCCTGTGATTGGACCCAGCATCAGCGCAGCTGTGACAGCCGCCATCCCGCGCAGCACCCGGACCAGCCTTACCTCGCAGGCATCCGCTGCCGGGGCTGGGACCCCCACGCTGAGGCTGTTTGCCCAGAGCCACCGAAAGTGCTCCAGGAGACGCTGCGCCAGTGGCCCGTGATGGTACGGCAAGTAGAAGAGCTCCACCAGCATCTGCACCTCCACCAGAGTCAGCAGTGCCATGGGGCTGGATGTGTCCTCCTCGAGCGTCATCAGTGCCACAGGGACAGACCCCGCCTCCTCCGGGCTCAGCGGTGCTGTGGAGCTGGTCCCGGCCTCCTTGGGGGTCAGTGGTACCGTGGGGCCAGACACAGCCTCCTCCAGGGTCAGCAGGGCCACGGGGCTGGGCCCAGCCTCCTCTGGGATCACTGGTGCTGTGGGGCCAGGGCTGGCACCAGCCCCATCGGTGAGTGGTGCTGTGGGGCCAGGGCTGGCACCAGCCCCATCGGTGAACGGTGCCATGGGGCCAGGGGTGGTGCCAGCCCCATCAGTGAGTGGTGCTGTGGTGCCAGGGCTGGCACCAGCCCCATCGGTGAGTGGTGCCGTGGGGCCAGGGGTGGTGCCAGCCCCATCGGTGAGTGGTGCCATGGGGCCAGGGCTGGCGCCAGCCCCATCAGTGAGTGGTGCTGTGGGGCCAGGGGTGGTGCCAGCCCTATTGGTGAGTGGTGCTGTGGGGCCAGGGGTGGTGCCAGCCCCCAGCCCTGGGGGTGTCTGGGGCATTTCAGCTCTGCTGGCCTCAGGCTGGGTACCGCTGGGGGGCTGGCAGGGGCTGCCACCCCCTGTCCTGGCATCACCGGTGGGTAGGGGGAGGTTCTGGCTGGTGGCCCCATTGCTGCAGCACATGGTGGGACCTGGGCTGTGGAGGGTCTCAGTAGCCTCCGGTGTTCCTGTGGACTGAGCACTCCCAGCCATGCCGGGCAGAGCAGATGAGGGCTCACAGCTCCCTCTGCTCCCCGGGGTGAGGTGGTTCCCGTCCCCCACAGGGCTTTGCCGCCCATCAGCAGGGGACCCGCTCCCACTGCCCTTCTCAGGCTCCGGGGTTGCCTTCCTCCTTCCCTCACCTGCTGCCATGCTGCAGGGCTCAGGGCCATGCTGGTCTGCCCCACCAGGAACAGAGTCGTGGGGCTGGGGGTCAGGCATTACCCCCTGTCCTCCCGCTGTGCCAGGCTGCAGCCTCGTTCCTCCCTTGAGGCTGGCACTGGGGTGTCCCGGGGTCCTTCCTCCTGGCAGAAAGGAGCAAGGGGGCAGCCCCTCCAGCACCCACATGGACACTGCTGCCAGCGGGGCAGGACAGCCTGGGGGGGCAGGACGGCCCTGGGAGCAGCCATGCTGGAAGCTCCATCTCCCGAGGTGACAGGGACCAGGACCACAAGCTTTGCATCACTCTGTGCTCTGGAATTCGGGTTCGTGGCTGGTGAGGCCACAGGCTTTGTGGAGGCAAACACTGTGAAACACCGAGCTTGCACCTGGCTGAATCCCTTTTCCAGAGCTGTAACACAGCCCAGGCTCCCACGCTGCCAGCTGAGGAGACCCCCTCTGGGATACAGCCGGGGCAGGAGCACCCACAGCAGCATGGCATGACAGACACCCACCCCTGCCCACCACGACACACTGACCCCGCAGAAGGGCATGGGGCTCCCTCACCCCACCCACCCCACAGAGCTGGTCCAGCGCTGCGGAGGGCCAAGGGATGCTGCACGGCGTGAGCTCATCACCTACCTTGCTCCAAGGCCTGCCGGTTTATCTCAGCCACCCAGTCACGCAGCGCCAGCTCCAAGGCCTCCTGGGGGCTGTAGCTCCCCTCCTGCGGGCCTTGGCTGTCCCCCAGGGCTGCTGTGGTCTCTGTCCCTGAGGAACTGGAGCTCATCAGCCCAGGCAGCCCCGTTCTGCTTGATGGAACTACCCCATGCCATGCTGAGGGCAGGCAGCCCCCCCGCAGGGAGATGCCCCCAGCACAGATCCCGTGCCCTGGGATGCCAGGGAGTGCCCAGCCAGGCGGGACACCTCACCCGGGCTGCCATGCAGCTGCAGACGGGCAGCGATGGGCAGGCCTTGCCTGGGCGCACAAGCTCACTGCCGGCGCTGGAGCCCCGAGCGCAGAGCTGCCTGGGGCGCGGGGGCCAGGTACCTGTGAGATCAGGGTGGGCACCACTCCCCAGCTCGCTCCGGAACCAGCTGCCCAGTGTGTGTATGGGGATGAAGTTGGCCTGGAGCTCACAGTTGGGGTTGAGGAGCAGCCCACGGAGCCTGGGCACGAGCCCGGGGGCACGTCCCGTGTAGGGGCCCAGGAAGACACGTCTGCAATCGTAGTCGTTGGCATACAGGTTGTCCCAGATGACGGGCGGGCGTCGCAAGACACCCTCCACCTCCTCCAGCAGCACAGCCGAGAGCTCCTGCGACACGACCTTCGGGCCTGGGGCATCACGGCACAGATACGTGTGGAGCACATGGGCGGCGCAGCCCATCGTGCACACTCACAGCCGGGACATGCCCACCTCCAGGTGCTGTGCAGACGTGGGGGACAAGCCACCCCACCCCGGACAGGGAGCGCACCCGGACCCATGCGCCGCCGGGCTGGCCGGGGCTGCACCCCAGTGCCGAAGGGCACCTCAGCGGGGCCACGCGCTGGCACCTCCCCTGGGACGGGGACGGGCTGCGGTGTTTACAGGTGGTGGCTCTCACGGAGGGGCCGCACGCCCCAGCCAGACCAGGCGCTCACCTGTCCAGATGATGCCGATCCCTGGGAGCAGCTCCTGGCCAATGGTCAGCAGGTAGCAGGACTGTCTGGGGCTGGGAGAGCAGAGCGAGCTGCAGTACTCTGGAGAGAGAGCACAGAGCATCCCTTGAGGGGCAGAGGGACCAGGAGATGAGGGGCTGCCTGGGATGGAGGGATGGGGCCTGGGGCTATGTAGGGAACACAGCATGCACGGCTGCTGGAGTGCTGGCCCGTCCGCAGCCTGATCCCGTCCCAGTCCTGAGCTCCCCAGGGCTCCTGCAGGAGCACGATGGGGCTGGGGAGAGCCGTGAAGGCCGTAAGGGCAGGCAGCTCTCAGCAGACACATGCCAGGTGCAGAGGGCACCCTGGCCTGCTCTGGGGAGCCATGGCTGGGCAAGCACTGGGTCCCTGGGGAGGGGCGGCTGGGGCCACACAGCTGCAGGTGGTACCTGTAGGGCAGAAGAGGAAGACGGATGGTTGGCCCAGCTCCTGGTACACCTCGTTGGCCACAGAGGCCTGAGCCTGCGCCAGGGAGGGAAAGACGTCTCTGTCCGCTTGGCACATACAGGGGTCAATGTCATCAAAGAGCAGTGCGAAGGAGTGGCACCCCATGGCAGCCACCTGCAGGCAAGGGCACAGGCTGCTAGCACCCCTGGGCAGCAGAGAGAAAGGAGGCAGTGAGCCCTGGACGAGACTCTGATGCCTGGGGTGACAGCAGAGCTCTGGGGCACCCAGACAGACAGGGCGGGCAGGGCAGCCCTCACTGCGTCCCCCTCGTCATGTCCCTCTCACCACATCCCCCTCGTGTCCCCCTTGCCACATCCCCTCATCGTGTCCCCCTTGCCACATCCCCCACCCCTGCCCAGCAGATGCCGTGGCCACAGCACACCTCACTCCAAGCCCTGGGCACAGCCGTATTTGCCATGGGCCAAGAGCCCTTTCAAACCAGTTGGTGCTGCAGTGGCCTGGAGCCCACTCCCACTGTGCGGCTGCTGAGCAGCCCCACTCCCGGCCCACCACGTCCCGTCGCCCCACGCCACACCCCCACATCACCCGGCAGCACCGGGAGCCCCAGGAGCAGAGGTGGCCGAGCCTCGGGAGCCGCCTGGGGAGGGGATCCCTGTGCCAGGGCTGGCTGCAGGTGGCTGGAGAGGCGGGCGGGCACGGCTCAGTGTTCCCGATCCTCCTGGGGACCAGGGGCTCAGCACCCGCCTGCAACAGCCCCCAGTGCTGCCCAGCAAGCGCTGGGGCTTGACTGGTCCCTCTCCTGCCCGCAGTGCTGCCCGCTGGCAGCCAGGCATCCGCGGAGCCCTCGGCTCCCTGCCCCTGTGACAGGGACAGCGTCTCTGACACCGGGCACCCCCGATGCACAGCAGCAGAGGGGTTTAGAGCCCCACAGCAGCCTGCGGGGTGGGCAGGAGGGTGAGCCTTGCCTGGGAGCAGCGGGAGGAAGGAATGGCCCACGGTACCTGCCTGAGTTTTTGCAGCAGCAAGAGCCGATCCCCAGCACTTGAAAGCACCATGTCCTGGCCAGCAGAAATGGCGAAAACAAACTCCACACCCTGCTCTTGGGCAGCTTCGATGAGAGACCGCATGTGGGCTGGGGACGAAGCAGGGGCGGTGCTGTGAGCGCTGGGAGACGGGGTGGGGGGAGACAAGGGGCGGAGGGAGAGGGAACCGCAGCAGCCCCAAAGGAAGGAGCTGAGGGCATCGGGAGCCCTGGGAGAGCATCTGGAGGGGAGAGGCCCGGGGGAGAGAGTTTCCAGTCTCTTGGGACACAGCGGACTCCCCGCAGGCTCTGTGGGTGCTGACATTCGAGCGTAGGGCCAGAGACCCATGTGGGGAGCTCCCCATTCTGGGCAGGCTGCTAGGCCCATGCGATGGGCAAGCTCTGGGGAGGGTCCTGTACCGGGCAGGCTCGGGGGGTCTCCCTGCAGGTGGCAGGGCCTGCGGGGCTCCCCGCAGTGGGCCGGCTCCTGGCAGAAGGAGCGGTAACAGCCGGCCTGACACCCCGGGATGCAGACCACGCTCCACCCCTGCAGGCCTGGGGCGCCCGCAGCCCCCCCGCGCCGGGGCCCAGAGAGCCGCTACCTGCCTCATGCTCTGTGTAGGGCTCTCGCCAGAGCAGCCGGTGCTTCAGCTCATCCTTGGGCGCGTACATGTAGCAGTTCAGCCCCTGGTGCTTCAGCCTGTGCAGCAAGGACAAGGGGTCACCCGAGGTTCCAGACCGGCTCTTTGCAAAGAGGCATCTGGGCAGGGGCCAGCCCGCACCTCCAAGAGCTCCTCGGCTCAGGGCACCGCTCTGTGTCCCAGGCTGCTCCGTGCCCCAGGCTGCCGGCCCTGCTCCCACAGAGCCCCCGGGTGCGGAGCCCCCGGGTGCGGACAGCTGCACGGAGACATCAGCCTCACCCTGTGCCCCCAGTGCTGAGACCAGCGACTTGTGCTGTTCAGGGACCTCCAGAAAGAGAGTGCATCTGGATGAGAAAGCCTCAGAGCCCAGCAGGACGCTGCCTCCTGGGAGATGGGTTAACACCCTTGCTGTGGAAAAAGCGGGTGGGAGGGACCAGCGTAGTCTAAACAGCCCCTCATAACCCCCTGACAAAGTCCCGTGATGAGGAAAAGCTCGATGTCCTGAGCAAGGAATGGAGGAGGGACGAGTGGCCAGAGCAACCTCCACGGGAGGAAGAGGGATCCCTGGGGGAGGCTGAGAACAAAATGACCAAGGAGACAGAGGACGGGGTGCAGCAGCCCCAGCCCTGGAGCCCAGCTGTGGGGCTCTGTCAGGACAAACCATCCCTGCAGCTTTGCAGCAGCTCTTCCAGGGCTTGTGGTGAGACCTGGGGAAGCACGTGGCATCTTGTCTAAGCATGTCGGGGCAGGGGGGTGACTTCTTTTCCCTTTCTCGTCAGCTCTAACTGTGCAATCAAGAACCAAAGTTGTTTGCAGCCCAAACATGCAGGCTCCAAGGTTTTCTGTCGTGACAAGTGAGTCCAGATGAAGCAGGTATGTATGAGGTAGTTGCCCCTCTGGATGTGAGGGGTCTCTGTGGAGCAGAAGCAACGGAGACACCTCAGAGAGCTGCCACCTCACTGCTCCCCCAGGCTCAGCGTCCAGGACTGGGGTGTCGCTGCAGGCACAGGCTGGCCTCGGGGACAGCCCGGGGTACCACACACACCCAGGGAGCCCTCACCGCTGCAGACCCCCTCACATCATCCCCTTGAAAAGCCCATAGCCTGTCTGCAGGCTGGCCTGGCTCCCCCACAGTCCCTGTATGCCTGCTGCACCATTCCCAGACCATGCCTTGATCACTTGAACAGCTCAAGACCCTCAAAACTCTCACTCTGCAACGGTTTTTGCAGCTGCTGGGTCTCACTGGGCTCTTTCACTGTCTTGCACTTCCCATCTCCTCTCCTGTGAGGCACCAGCACAGGACACGGCACTGCAGCCCCAGCCCCGCTCTGGATACGGAGGCTGCAGCCTCCTCACAGCCACTGGACTGTCCCTTGCCTGCCCCGGTCTCCCTTTCCTCATGTTGTGGCCAGACACACTCCACACCACCTGCCCAGCTGCTGCACAAACACCTTCTTTTTGGCTGCCTTAAAGGGTGTTTCAGTGGAGGGGGCCCAGAGCAGGCTGTGGGTTTACTGCTGGGATGTGTGTGAGCCACATGTCGCTGTGGTCCGACTAAAGAGTCAGGCAAAAACGGCAGCAGGCCTGCATGGATGAACAAGGAGCTCCTGGACAAGCTCAAACACAAGGAGGAAACCTCCAGAGGGTGGAAGCAAGGACAGAAAGCCTGGAGAGAACACAGAGAAACTGTCCAAGCAGCCAGGGATCAGGTTAGGAAGGCCAAAGCCCTGATAGAATTAAATCTGGCCAGGGATGTCCAGGGCTACAAGAAAAACTTCTATAGGTACATCAATGATAAAGGAAAAGTAGGGAAAATGTGGGCCCTCTCTGGAGGGAAACGGGAGACTTGGTTATCTGGGACATGGAGAAGGCTGAGGCACTCGACGAGTTTTTTGCCTCAGTCTTCCCCAGCAAGTGCTCCAGCCACACCACCCAAACCATAGAAGGCAAAGGCGGAGACTGGGAGAAGGAAGAACCACCCACTGCGGGAGAGGATCAGGTCTGGGACCAGCTCAGGAACCTGAAGGTGCACAAGTCCACGGGACTGATGAGATGCATCTGCAGGTCCTGAGGGAACTGGCAGACGAAGTGGCCCAGCCACTGTCCATCATATTTGAGAAGTCATGGCAGTCCAGTGGAGTTCCCAAAGACTATAAAAGGGGAAACAATCCCCATTTTTAAAAAGGGAAATAAAGAGAACTCAGAGAAATACAGGCCAGTCAGTCTCACCTCTGTGCTTGGCAAGATCACGGAGGGGATCTTCCTGGAAACTCTGCTGGGGCACACGGAAAATAAGGTGATTGGTGACAGCCAACACAGCTTCACTGAGGGCAAATCGTGCCGGACAGATCTGGTGGAATTGTGCAAAGCATCTGACACTGTCCCACGTGACATCCTTGTCTCTAAACTGGAGAGACATGGAATTGATGGATGGAGCCCTCAGTGGATCAGGAACTGGCTGGGCGGACGCACTCAAAGAGCAGCTCCACGTCCAAGGGGACAGCGGTGGCCAGTGGCATCCCCAGGGTCGGGGTTGGGCCCGGCGCTGTGGAACGTCTTTGTGAGACATGGACAGTGGGACGGAGGCACCCTCAGCAGTTTGCTGAGGACACCGAGCTGTGTGCGGGGACACGCTGAGGGAAGGATCCAGCCAGAGGGACCTGGGCAGGCTGGGGAGGGGGGATGGGCCAACCTCAGGGAGTGCAACGAGGCCAAGGGCGAGGTCCTCCCCACGGGCCGGGGCAATCCCAGCACAAACCCTGGCTGGGCGGAGAATGGCAGGGGCTTGGAGCCAAAGCATTCTGTGATTCTGTTCCATGACACAGCTCTGGAAGCTGCTGTGCCCACCCTGCCGGCGAGACTGGCAGAGCAGCTCCAGAGCACCCCGGTCAACATGGGGCTCGGCACTGCTGGCACCCCGTTATCTAACAGGGTCACACTGACACTGATCCACAGGTGTCAGGGGGCCTGTCAGAGGAACTCTCTGGGACTGCAAGATTTTTGCCAAGCCCTGCACGTGGAAAGCCCCAGGGCGCGGAAAAGCAGCGAGTGCAGGAGCCGAGCTCTGGCAGGGTGGGCGGCAGAGCCGGGCGAGCGTGAACCTGCGGCAGGGCGCTGCGCCTGCGCGGACTGCAGGTGGCAAAGACCAAGTGGAGAATAAAGGAGCAAACGCAGCACTCAAGTGATTTGAAACGGCTGTTAAACTGGGCTTCAGCCAGCAGTACACATCTTAAGACAGTCAAGCGTAAAGTCCTGCCTAGGTAAAAGAATTCAGAAGCTATGGTGTCTGAAGTAAAACAACTTAACGAGCAATTAGTTGAACATGAGTGCCCTCTGCAATGCCACTGGTAACTCAACAAAAGAGAGAGCCCCAGATTAATCTCTGCAGAGTGTCGGGCAGGGCTAGGGAGATCTGGTGGCCTCTGTGCTGGCTGCAGATGCTGCCAGATCAGCGGCCACAGTGTGGGAAGGACGCTGATAAATCAGTGAGTCTGTCCTGGAGCCACACACAGAGACACAGGCGGAAAGCCTGTGAGCAACAGTCTTGGAGCCCAGTCTGCCCATCACCCCAGCAGAAAACCTCACCCGCCAGCGCTCCGGAGGAGAGAAAAGCCACACCCGGCAGTCAGGGACATGGCAGGGTCCAGGGGTGACTCACGCGGACATGCATTCCGGCGAGACGGGAGAGGAAAGGTCTGCAGCTCTCCAGATGCTCCACTGCAGCCAGAGCCGAGGGGAAGCAGGTACGAGAGGGATGGGGGCAGGCCTGTGGGAGATCAGACTGCCCCCTCATAAGACCCTTTCTGGCCTCCGAAAGCACAAATTCCTTCCAGAATCTCCCCAGCAACCCAAGACTCACTGGAAATTATCAGGACTGAGCAGACACCTCCCTAGATAGCTCTTTTGGCACTCCTGCGTGAGAGCCATCTGATATATTAGTTTATTTTTATTTATCCTCCTTAGTAGATGATGTTTTACACTTTCCCACGATGAAAAGGCTGGGAAGCACTTCATGTACCACATGATACAAGTGCCTCATCGTGTTTCTTTCCAGAGGAGAAAAACACCAATGAACATACCACTCGTGTGCGACCATGTGAACGTATATCTCAGCTCAGTACCAGGCAAGGCCGTCGTTAGACCTTCTCATTCCTAATAGACTTTAAAACACCACATCTTGTTTTACTTCTGGTGCGTTTTCCTCAAATTTTCCAAGCTACATTTTTCTGTATCAGCATTTCTGGTCCTTACTTGCACTGAACTGCCGATGCTGTCCCAGCACATAGCCCTGCTGTGCCCCACACACCCCCCAGGCGCCATCCCCAGGGCAGGACCCGCTGGCCCAGCACTGCCCAGGCCATGACCACTGGCCCGTGGCAGATGCTCCATGGGAGAGCCCCAGGGCCCCAGTTCGTTAGTGGCAGGTCCTGCCAGCGCAGCTCAGGCTGCTGATGGCCAGCACACAGGCGCCAGCTGCGAGGAGACGGCTTTTCCTCTCCTGCAGATCAACTCCCATCCCAAGGTGATTCCAACAGACAGGGACAGATCCTGCCCGCATCCTTCTGTCACAGGGATACAAGGGCCACCTCCACACCGGGCAGGGATGGCAGCCTCAGCATCAGAGAATCACAGAATCACCATCACAGGATGGTTTGGGTTGGAAGGGACCTTGAAGATCCTCCAGTCGCACACCCCTGCCGTGGGGGCACCTTCCCCTCCCGGCTGCCATCGCTGCTCCCATGGTGTGAGCAGCAGGGGCTGACCCTGCCCCACCGACTGCTCCCCAAGAGTCTGCGCCCTCCCTGCAGCGCCCATGCCAGCAGCACCATGCATGTGCAGGGACTAGTGCCCACCAGCCCCTCCGGAGCCCTTCCCCTGGGGGCACCCAGACAAACACATCTGGCTGCAGCTGGGCCAGGGCAGAGCCCCAGCACCATCTGCCGGCACGGGGCTGCAGAGCATCTGTCCCGGCGTCCTGGGGCTGCCTGTCCATGCCGCACCCGGGCCCAGGGCCGGGGAGCCTCCCCCAGGGGGAGAGATCCGGGGCTGCAAGAGTGCTGGGACAGAGAGGGCTCTGCAGGACAAGCCCTGGGAGAAGCATGAGCCCCCTTTGCTGCCATCGCCCTGGTGTCCCGAAGGCAGGGCAGCCCCAGGAGCCTCCACAGCACCCTGCCTTCCACCTTGTCACGCTGCCACAGGCTAGTGCCTTCAGAGAGGAAAATTCAGGTACTTGCCATTGAAAGAGAAGTTTCCTCTGTTCCATAGACCACGGCCTCCCATAGAAACCTGTAAAAAGGGGGGAAAAAAGTCAAAATGCCATTGTCAGTAACTGCCTCAAGAAAGTCTCTCCCTGTACTACCTCTAAGTGTCTGCTCTTAAGCCCAGAGCTCCACCGGTTGTTCATCTGTGGGTGCGCAGGTATCTGTGCTCCTGCTGGCATCGGTATTCAAGCAAGTGGGGATGATGTCTGTGCTTCCGTCCTTCCCAGGAAGAGGCAGCTGGGAAGAACTGCACAAGGCAGCACTTAACCTGGGGAATTTGCACAGTGAAAACCAAGCCTGGAGGAAACAGCTGAGGGCTGGCTAGGTTATAAGGCACTCAGGCATGATTTCGGGGTGCACTGAAGTACAGAGCTATTGTACATCCATCCTAGAGATTTCCAACTGCAGATTTTCTTCTTGAGAGAGATGAGCTCTGTGTGTCTCTGCATCTCTCCGTGTCTGTGTAGTGTCGAGCTGTGTCAAGCAGAGAGCATCATCACTCCTGTATGAGCTATAAAACCTGCTCTCTCCATCTCTAGTCACTGCACAACCCAAACTGCACCAAAACTGCACCGAGCCAGCTCTCCCCTACGCCCTGCAGACACACACCTGACTGCAGCAGGGCAGGCCTTGGAGGCAGCATCCCTGTCCCATGGCAAGCTGTGCCAACCAGGAACGTGCCAACAGCCCGCAGGGCTGCCCACGAGTGCTGGGACTGTGACTCCACAGACATGTCACAGACACCTCGTCTGTCCCCGACTGGAAAACATCATCGCCATAAGCTTGCAAAGGGAAAATCCATAGGGAAAGCGCAGCAGGGAGCAACCTTACCCGCTGTCTGCTAACAAAGATGCTCATCAGTGAGCACCAAGGCTGGCCGCGAGGACATCGCCCTTCCAGAAGGTTCACATCAACAAAACCGAATGCAGGAAATATGGAGCTGGGGTCAGCAGATTCCCAAGTGTTTCTTAACATTTCCACTTCTGCTGCTTGCAGGAATTAGGGGGTTGTTGGACTCTGCCCCGTGCTCTGCACGCAGGGAACAGCCTGACTGGATGCGGCGAGTGGGGAAGGTATTCCCATGATAAATGTATTTTCCATTTCTCAATCCTTAGGAACTCCTGCTCAGCTGACAGCAAGGTCCCAGGAGTCCCTGCACAGCACCTGCCTACAAGTGCCTCACGCTTTGCTGTGGACTGACACTGCCTTGCAAGTATGACACTCACCCCCTACACATGCCCTGACAGCAGCAGCTCTGTTGAAAATGCCATCCCAGCGTATTCTGTCCAGTAAAGTGGCTTAAATTAAACCAACAAAATCCATTTGTACCCGTGGCTGCTTCTCCAAAGGAGTGATGTTGGTGCTCTGATTTTCGGAAGACAGATGAGCATTGACGAGTGATGCTCTGTGTTTGTACCCAGCTCTCCCATGGCTCAGATCACACCAGTAGCCTCTCAGCACCATTACTGGCCAAACTCTGGGCCATCTGGGATGTCCCTCAGCAATTTCTTCACAGCCGTTAGCAAAGTCGTGATGAATATATTGGGATCAAAGTCACCAGGCCCCGTCTGTTCCCTCTCTGGTCCTTGGTGCAGGTCACCCAGAGGCCTCAGTCCGTCTGTGCTCTCGGGCTGCTGCTAGCAACGTCCCGGGTGCCAGGGAGAAGCAGGGGGCTCTGAGTGGGACACACTACCCCTGGCCCGCCCTGGCCCTGCTCCGCAGCACCCTGTTCCTGCCGGGCCTGCGCTGCCAGGGTGAGGGAGACTTTCCCTCCTCCCTCTCCAGGGACGGGCTCCTCCCAGCATGGCTCTGCTGGCAGCACCAGCATCCTTCTCTTTCCCGGGTCAGCTTTCCTATACCAGTGATTCTCGTCTGACTCACTTCTTTTTACTACCAGCTTCCCTATCCCTCCACTTTCTATTTATTTTGTGATTATTTGCACGGTGCTTCTGCTTCCTCCCAGGCAAGGCAGCGGGCTCCAGCACTGTGCTGCGCGGCCAGGAACAGCAGAGATGCTCTTGCCTGGTGGTGCCGGGCCTGGCCCAGCTCCAGGGGTGCCACGCTGCAGGAACGGGGGGGTGGGGGGGAGCACAAGGACGGGGCCGAGCCATAGGAGCTGCCGGGAGAGCCCAGGCTCGCCCTGGCCAGACCCCGGCACCACCCCGCAC